AGCCATTCTCTCAAATAACTCCCAACCTCCATCAATCGTTCTTGTGGTCAATGAGCCATTTGATGATGAGTTAACCATGCTCCTGAAAGTTGGAAGTAGTTCTGTGTAAAAAATTCTGATTTGTGATGGTTTGTCAAACCCATGCTGTGGACATTTTCTCAACATATTCTTGAATCTGTTCCATGCCTCATCAAATGATTCGGACTCATTCTGGCTGAATATTGATATTTTGTGCCTCAATCTTGCAACCTTGGCTGGTGAGAAGAACTTCGTGCAGAATTTATAAGTCAAATCGTTTCAAGTAGTGATGATAGCTACATGGAGTTAATCTAACTACTCAAGTGCTTTATCTCCCAGAGTGTGTGGAAATAACCTCAATTGGATTGCATCCTCTGATATCCCTTGGTACCTGAAGTGTTGACACATGGATAGAAGCAGGATACATGTGTATGCGGATTCTCGTTGGCCATCTCGTAGAATTGATGTCCGTTTTGGAATAGTTGGATGACATTAGTCTTCAGCTGAAAGTTTGGTTGTTCGAATGCGGGTTAGACAATGTTGGATTGACTTTGAGCGACGAATGGTGACAAGAAATCCCCAAGAAGAGCATTGTCATCATATTGTACCTCCGCATTTGCTGGAGTTGCAAGGTTTATTCTCGGTTCCAAAAGTTGATCAACCATTTGTAGTTGTTCTTGATCTTTCTGATGTGTTGCTCTTGCCTTTCTTTGTCTGCGATGAAAGGTTCGTTCAATTTCCAAATCAGCTTGAAGTAATTCACAGCTAATTGATCTTCGCATGCAAGACTTGAAGAAGCGAAAAATAGTAGCACTTAACTCAGCCTAAGTGAATAAACTTAATAGAAAATAAAATGTAAACTAAAATAAAGAAAAACAAGTTCGAATTAGTGTCTAAATAAAAAAAATCAAATTAAAACTCAATCCCTGGCAACAACGCCAAAAACTTGTTCACGAAAATATGTTTCGAATTTAAATCACCGCAAGTGCACTGTTCGTTGACAAGTAATAAAGTGGAAATCCTAGAATTTCGAGTATCATTCCCACGATAATTGATTTAACTTGATTTTTATTATCGAGACCTTAATCCCTTGTGAGTTTTTCAATTTCTATGATTAAACTAAAACTAGCACGCAAATTAAACTAAAATTATGACTTAGTTGCAAAAATGACGTTTCAGTGCAAAAGATTTGAATGAAATTAATGTATGAAAAAGCGCACTAAAATCCCGAATCACCAAGCAAAGTTCCCTTTTAACCTTTATTTCACAATTTGATAACACGGTGAACTGGTTGAAGAATCAATGTTTCTAACTTATCTAACAATCTCTTTCGAGGAGAATTGAACATATTCTAGCATACCATTTGACTATATTTCTATGACAAATGCAATATACAAGAATGCATGAAGTTTTGTAAACACTTAGAGATTCACGTAATGCATATCGGTATATTTCTATCCTCTATGAACAAAACGATGATTTATACC